CTCAAATAATAAACAGAAATAAAATATTTTTTCGAATTCCAGTGTTTCTCTCCATAGCCCTGGTGGAAGTATTGGGGGTTCATTTGTCCCAGAACCGTTAGAAACTGTTTGCAGGTTCTAACGGCCCTGTTGCCAGAAGGAAACTATTAATTTCGGAAAAAATTCGAAAAAAAAAAACGATAACACAACCAGGGAAAACATTATCTTTAGTGACCAAACAAAATACAGTTCTGAAAATCGGACATGCCTATCCTACGGTGAAGCATGGTGGAGGTAATATTTTATGTTGTGGTGCATTTTAGCTAATGGTACAGCAATTTAGTTTTTATTGACAATCCGGATGTTAACCCCATGGAGCGCCTCATACTATTCATACTAATTCTCGTAAATACATAACCAAAAAAATAAACGTGAAAAAAAAAATAAAACAAACGATTATTGAGTAGAAGTGGGAGTAAAATTATTAAGATCATTTGATAAATAGACTAAAATAACACCAAAGAAATACTTGTTGTCTGTGAGAATTGACACCGACAACAGTAAATGAAATCTCGATCTCTCTTGACTAAGCAGTTTAGTCGAGATTTAAGCAAAGTTAAAGAATTTATATTTTTGATTTCGATCGGTAGCTCACTGTGGATATTTGGGCTAAGTGCAAAACGAATCTTTGTCCTAGTGAGGTGTCGGTTTGAGGAAGGTAACCTGTTAGTACTTTGTGCCTGGTGTTATGATTATGCTTTATGGTTTGTAACGTGTCTTTTTTCTTATTAAAGATCTTAAGAGGTTACTTGTATGTTTTACGTGTTCACCCCACGCTAAATGCGGATAAAGTATAATCCCTAAAGGTTTGATATAAAACTGCCTTATTTTTTATTATTTAAATAAATTTTTATTTTATTTTTATTACTCTGCCAATATTTGCTTGAAATATATATCTCATTAAATGTAAGTGAAAGAAGAAACTAAAGGAAAACTAAAAAAATGCTACGTGCACGGAGACTTCTTTACCGACCGTTTATGACGCATTGTGTAATTAAGCGAAATAAAGGCAATTGAAGTGTGACTGGTTTCAGCAGGCCACAACCCTTACCGTCACTTCAGATATGTTTTTTTCTAAGGGGACATTTTGCTTGGACAGTGGATAGTTTAAAGAGCATTCACTGGGCTCGGTTATAATCGGTTTTGTTACAGAGGCGTATTATTTATTTGTTACAGACTTGAAGCCCGCAATCCGGTGCCATCTTCTCGAGATCCCGTTTGATTTATTGCGGCGAAACTTGCAAGAACTGTAAAGCGGTCCCTCGCCACGTTCATAACTTTGTTAATAGTTTCGCTTAGTTTCACATAATAAATTAAACGAGGCTGGGAGAGTTCGCTGTTGCTTTCGCGGAGGAACGGGACTCTTTAATGTCAAGGCTGCGGTCCTAGGTATTTCGTGGGGTTCGGGAAAAACCCGGATGATGGACGACCACAGATCCGAGGTTAGTTTTGGTTGGTTCAGATGAACTGCAGAGGTCACCGACACCTAGAGCAAGATTGCTTTCGAAAAATTGTCGCCGGGCGGGGCAAGTTCGTAGCGTGTAGCGCGGACCATAGTTTTATTTCAAAAAGAAGCCAGTTCGGGGTTCTTATCGTTGTTACTTTCGAAAATCGATGAAATTGAATTTTTTAAAAGTATTTGCGCTCATATAAAAGTTTTATATCTCGGTAACGGTAGGACCTATAGAGTCGCCGTTGGTCGAAAAAAAATTTTTTTTTGTCTGTTTGTCCGTTCCCCGTTTTCCGTTGTCGTCTTTTGGGTTTTCCTGAATAACTTTCGAACCGTTGGATCTACAAAATTAAAATTTTTCTCCTTTTTAACCCTCCGTGAGGTACATAAGCTTATAAGAAATGGCCCTGATCCGACGTCGGTATCCATTTTTTTCTCGATTTTTGACTGATTTTTGGACCTTGCTATGAAACACGATAAGTGTCCGAAATTTGAAGCAATTGACTTCGTATTTGGCACATATATGCAGCTTTGCCCTGTGACGGGGGGCAGGGGGGTCGGAAAGTATTCTAAAAAAATAAAAATAACTCGTTTACAAGACCAAAAAAAAACTTGAACCAGAAGAAACAAAACATACTTCTCTATAAACTTTTATTCTTCACAATTTTTCAAAAATATACAGGGTGAACGCTAATTCAAAAAAACTGAAAAATGGGTTCCCCTATTTTTGAAAATTATTTATAACTGCAAGACTATGATTCAGATATCACTTTCTTTTATATTGCGATATAGCCCGCCTAGACAGCAAAAACTTTTGTATTTCAGGTTTTCACCTATTGTGCAAGGTGTTCCCGATATTCTGTGCTAAATGAGAAATGTTTTAAGTGTCCTAAATTTGCAGATATCAACTTCAAACTGAGCAGAGAAGTAAAAATCCGTGTCCACATTTAAACGGTTGAAATTGGGTGCAATCAAATTTTACCAATTATTTTTTAATAATTTTTGAATTTTTTTTTGGTAATTTTAGCTTCTAGAAAAACATGTTTTTCTTCATAATCGTTTACTCGATCGGCAACATTATTTAACCAGCAGTTGCGGAAGATCTAGTACAATAACAATTATTTCACACACTTTTTCGATTATATACAGGGTTTTCAAACGATAGGCAAAAATCTAAGAGACCTAAAAAATTGTTCTTTTACAGAGTAAATTATTAGCCGCAAATCAAAAATCGTAAAAAATATGGCTATTTGGTTCAAACAGTGCCATAGGCCGCATCAAGAGCTACAGTTCGTCAAATAAGCTGCTCTGGATATTTGAAAAAAAAAAACATATTGAAATCGTTATTCCGGAACTGTCAAGACGCGTGACATCATTGCTTATTACGCCGCACTGCATGGTTTCAGAAAAAAACTTATTTTCTCGACAATCATTTACTGTTTTCAAAAAATTCTTGAACCAAGAAACGTGGAAGATTCGGGGCTATAACCTATACTTCGAACACTGTTTGAATCATATACAGGGTGTGTCATTTATGGGAAAAAAATCTAAAAGATGGTTTTGGAGGTAACACTTCTTTTCTCACACCATGCAGTACTTCGTAATAGTAAATGACGTCATCGCGTCTAGATTAAGGGCGAGAAATGGTAAATACAAACATTGTGGCTCTCGATGTGGCCTATAACACACATTTTTGATTCGCAGTTAATAATTTACTCTGGAGAAGGACAATTTCCAGGGTATTCTAGATTTTTGTTAATAATCGAAAAATTCTGTATATAATCTGCCGGTTAAAGAATTTTGCCGAAAAAAAGATGGCCACCGATAATCTATCGCCGCTATTTTTGTAGGTCTCCCGAACTTGACAGGGGTCATAAAACATCGGATCAATTGCAACGACACTCTTAAAAATTTCCGAATTTGTGGTCACACTAATTTGCATACAATAAAAATGAAAGTAATTTGCATTGACCGTATTACTTTATATATGATTACAATTATAGAGATGAGATTACTGTAAAATTATTTACAAACGTCACATACTAGCAAGCCAGATTCATGAATGACCGAAGCAGAATGAAATTAGAAACTTAATAAATAGTTTGAAATAAGGTTAGTGGTCTGTAGTTTCCATAACTGATTCTTGCGTCTTCTTTATGAAGATGGATAACGATAGTTTTTCTTCATTTTTCAGGTAGTTTATTAGAATAGTAATTATAATATTAATTATTCATGATTATAATGTTAGAGATGGACAGATAATTGATATTCATAATTCTATCGTCACTTTTCAAAAAAACTTCCACTGGCTATTGTAAAATTATTTACATATCATATCTCACAAACTTTCCAATACTATTTACAAATTTGCAGGAGGAAACCAGAATATAATATTAATAAATATATTATTAATTATACATGATCATAATTATAGAGGTGGATAGATAATTGAGATATTCATTATTCTATGGTCCCTTTTCGAAACATTAAAAACACTATTTAGAAACTTGCTGCTAGCAAGCTCGATTTATCAATAACCGACGCAGAAGGAAACCAGAAACTGTATAAACAGTTTGAAATGAGGCTAATAGCATATAGTTTTCACAAATGATTCTTGCGTCTTCATAACGCAGAGGGGCATCGATAGTTTCACTTCAGTCTTCAGGTAGTTTATTAAAATAATAAATGCAATAGTAATTTTACATAATATTAATTCTACATGATTATAATCATAGAGATGGCAGATAATCGAGATATTAATTATATTATATTATTAGACTGAATATTAACTGAACATTAAGCTATTTCCAATAATTAATACAACAAAAACAAAACAACAAATTTACGAACTAAACGAGGCGAAAACATTATATTGTTTTAAGTAAGTTATTTTGTTGTTAAAATCAATTTCTAAATTAATTACAGCTAGCAAGTGGGTCTTATAGTGGAAAATTTCATTTCATTAGAGAACGCATCCATAAAGTTTAAACAATATTTGTAGTGGTTTGTAATGAATATTTTACGAATTTTATCCTTTTCGATCGACTTTTTGCCCCTGGTGTATTAAATTGAAATATTCGTTGAACGGCATGAATAAATAAACATGTTTAATGTTTGTTTTATACGATGGCGACAAGTTTAACTATAATATGACATAATTAAACGCTGGTTTCAGCAACATTGTTTGCAATATTACGAATTAAACAAAACTATATGACGACGCACTTTTTTATGATCACATATAAGTACGTCTTCTGACGATCAATTTGCTCTATTATTTTTAAATAAAAGCAAATAACGATATCTTTAGATTTTAAAATTTGAATACCAATGACGTCAGAGAAAATTGAGGTAAATTTAAATAAGAAATAATATGAAATTATCTCTCATTATAATTATTTTCCATTAGTATTAACGTGTATTACAAAATATAACAATCATCACTGGGTATATAACGCATATTTTATCGAGTTTGCAAGCTATCTTGCTCTAGAATATGAATAATACTTACCGCTTCGGTGTGCACGGGATGGACGCTAAACAGTAGTCCGGCCAACGTGGCAAATTGGGGTTTCAATCCACCCACGCAGAGGCAGACCTTCGTGAATAGAACGGACGCTATCGAATGCAGTGCGACGTTCGTCAGATGAAACGCCACTGGCGTAAGGCCGAAACACAAGTAGTTGGCCCTGCAAAAAAAAACCGTGAAGCCTTTTGTTTTTAGAAGCTTACGAATTTTCATCAATGACAATTTTCGGTTATTTGCGTTTTATAGTTGCAAACGTGATCCGTCTATACATCTATCCATCTATCCATCTCAATCAATCTCATTTATCCATCTATCTATGTATACATCTCTCCATGAAACCATCTATCCATTTGTCGTTTATCCATCTATCCATCTATCTATCCATCCATCTATTTATACATCTATCCATGTATCCATCTATCCAACTGTCTATCTATTCATGAATCCATCGATCATCTATTCATCTATCTATATCAATCCACCTCATTTATCCTTCTATCTAACTATCCATCTATCCCTCTACCTATTCTAATCATCTATCCAACAATCCATCTGTCCATCTATCTATCTATCTAACTATCCATCTATTTATTTATACATCAAACCAGGTATCCATCTATACATATCTATCTATCCATTTTCCTATTTAACAATCTATCCATGTATCCATCTATCTATCTATCTTTCCATGTGTCTATTTATCCACCTACCCATCTATCCATCTCTATCTACCTCATATATCCATCTATCCATCTATCTGTACATCTATTCATGCATCCAACTATCCATATATCTACCAATCTATCCACCTGTCTATCTATCTATCTCCGTCTATCGCATTTATCCATCTATCCATCTAATCATTCATCCGACTATCCATCTATCCATCTATCCATCTCCACCTATCTCATTTATCTATCTATCCCTCTATCTATTTATATATTTATCCATGTATTCATCTATCCAACTATCTATCTATACCATCTAGCCATCCATTCATCTATTCAACTATCCCTCTGTCTACTAATATATCCATCTCTCTGTCTATCTATCTGTCTAATCTATCTATAGCGTCGTTTTTATTTTCTATGGCAAGCCAAAAAATTTGTCTTAATTCCAGCTCCGTCAGTTAGTTTTAAAAAAAGTAAATATGCTCTCGACAGGGTGATGAAACGGTCCTTTAATCGTAGCGGTCCATTTCCGCTCCATATAATAAATCGTACCTATTTGTTTTTATTTTGGCGTCGAAAAGAGCCCCTCCCCCCGCCACGCTTTTTGCCGGCGGCTCCATTAATAACTCTGCCCGCCTCACGTTATCGCAATTCATCTCCGTAATTAAACAAATTTAATTATAATTGGAAAATTAAGGCGGCGAATTACTTTCGCCGGTGTTTATCTCTCGAGTTACTTATCTCGCAGGTGAAAGTCTCGGCGAATGTAAATACTTCCCGAATACTTTATGAAAAGCGATACTGAACAGCGGAGGCGGCAAGCTTTGTTTTAGTTGTTTGTTGTTTGCTTCCTCATTGAACGGCGTATTGTAAGCAAAAATTGGAGCGAAATTAAAATTTATGCGACTAATTTGAATCTTTCGAGGCTATGCTTTGAAAATACATGCGAAATTTGGCATGAACTGAAGTATCAAACCTTTTGTTATTTGATCCTTGACATTTTTAACACAGGAATAAACCACAGAGCTAACGGTGTATAGTCTGTGTCAATCTTTATCGTGATTGCTTTCGATGAAAGCTCCCCAATCAAAATTAACCGATGTTATCATCTATTGTTTACGTGTCAAATGCCATTCTATTCTATGCCACTGTATTCTTCAAAACGGCGAACATTTTGCTTAATTTTACAAGTAAGTAATATGCATTAATAGTTAGTGTTAATTTTTTGTAATCATTTCACGTAGACATTTTACTATATTATCTTAACAATGCTGTAAAACGATTGTGTACAAGTTGATAAGGAGCTAATTCCTAGTTTTTAATTTTATCTGCCAATTAAGCCAAAACGGTAAGTCAGAGAAATTGCTATTAAAGTGGCTATTCGAAAAATATACAGGGTGTCTCATTGAAGAAAATTGAGAAAGTGTGATTTTGCGTAACGTGGCATCACCGTAGTCTCGCTCCGCAAAAAAAAACAAACCGCGAGCAGCATCCAGATATAAGGAACGAATTCGTATCGGGGTTCACGTAATTGCTTCGAAAAACATTAATAACCTCGCACTAACACAAAAACTACCACTTTCCTCTATTAGGGGTGACATTTGGCGACGAAAACCTGAGATATTAATGCGCGACACCGGCCAAACTAAATTCGATTTTTTTTTGGATTGATTGGGAATCCGTAAATTTGCTATCTCAAGATCTCTCTCTCCCCGGGGGACGGGGGGCATAGAAGTTAGGAACAGATACTACTTAGGTGGTTCGATCGAGGTCACCTAATGAATCCCTTTTGAACAAAGGAAACCGGAAAAATTAACGCAGACGGTTATGTGTCCGGCAAATAAAGATCGCATCGTTTTCCCTTCAACTTTTCGACAGGGCTCGCATACACACACACACACACACACCACAAAAGCGATGGATTCTTCGTCGGTTTATTTCGAAACAACCGTTTAAATTGCTTTTCCCTTTGAAACTCGCCGTCGAACTTCCGCGCGGTAAATTCAGTCCGTGCAATTTGGGAATTATGGCAAGTAATCCCTTCCCCGATACGAGCTAGTTTTAGTTGAACATCAAAGAGTTTTACAACGAGTTTTTGCGATCCCGCATTGGCTTTTTTTTTTCGCTGCGGACCCGCGCACGATTATCGCGAAGGGCTTAGCATATTTCCGGTTATGGAATTCGAGTGGCTGCCTGGCTGTAATACAGGTCCGTGGTAGTGGGATGAGCTTTTGATAGCTGCCAATCTCACTCCTTTTACTGTGTCTAATGTTCAGGGAGGACGGTTCCTATCCTGAGAGGGGAGTTGATCGTGATCTTCTTCTGAGCTTACTCAGAGACTTGCAATCTGTTTCATTTCCCTTCAAGTTAGTTCATTGCGGAGTCGATTGCCCCTTTTCTTCTGGAACAATTACGCGACTGGAAGGGAGACATCAATCAACTTTCTTAACGCAGTTACCCAGGTCCAATATCTATTTTCAAAACCCTATTTACACTATGTGTGTTACCTTCAACAAACTATCATCTCACTGCGATTTATACATTGATGGTCTCCACGCGATACTTCAGCTAGTTCGATTGGCTGTTACTGTTATATTACAAAAAAGTGCTATTAATTGAAACTTTTTTACTTGAAATAAAGGTGCGCAAAGAGACTAACGCGCAAATTGGCGAGCTATTTATTACTTTGTTGACTAGTATTACGTTAAATATAGCCTGATTGCTATTCAGACCATTCGATCCATTATGTTCACTCCTTCCCATGTACTCTGGAAGAATTACGTAACTCTTTCATGGAGAGTGACATATAGGGGATGAGTGTAACTTATAATAAAAGAGTTACAAAAATAAATGGGGAATAAAACCAATGTTCCATAAGCGGCGATGCTTAATTAAATAATTAGTCAATTAATAAGAGCTTCAAGTAGGTTTTTATTTCTACGAGACTGGAGCCAGTATAAAGTTAAAAAACTAATGATTTACCTAAGAGATACAAAAATGGTAGAAAGTGCATTTAAAAAAAACATGTATAATGTAATATAATTAATAATAACAATATAATTACATATTCTAAGAGCAAATTAAATTCGGAATTTCGAATGATTCAGTTGAATTCGAATCTCATTCCAGAAGTACTATGCCGGGAATAGATCTTTGAGGTTTTAGTGCTATGCTACACTCTGGAGGTTTGGATTTTTAAAGATTTTATTTCATGTTTTGAATATTGGCGAGATTTGGAATGTTTTTGCAAGGACGAAGTTGAACCATTTGCAAGATCTTTTTCAGTCTCAGAAAGTTGGTGTTGGGAATAGTTTTACTCGTGTAAATTTTTTAAAATTTCTAATATGATTCTAGGTAGACGATAAACGTAGATTTCGAGCTTTGTTGTAAATATCATATTTGAAAGGGTACCGAATTCGTTCTCTAAGTTGCGGTATTTTATTAATACACGTTATGTTTGTATAACTTTACTTTCTTGATTGATTGATACCATGGTGCGTATATAAACAAACTAAATAAGCTGCATTTAACAATATTATAAATAAAATATATGGCGTATGCGGCGGTTATAGCGTACACATATGAAATATCAAGAAAATATGATACAATTTCACCTAAGTCGATAAATCTGAGAACACAACAAAATATATATAATTCTACTACAAGCAATCAAAAACCAGAATGCAGGTATACAAATACAAACAGAAATATACTTGTTTCTGTAACTTACGATCTATCTGCTGAACTTCTCAAGAGTTTTGTTTAGGAGTTTCATTACAATCAGTACGCTTCAAATGGTTTCCAAAAGATGCGAGGAATTGGAATGTTTTTGTAGTTTATTAAATTAAAATCAAAATTCTGTAAATTACCCCTATTTTCATGAAAACATATTTTTGCAGATATTGACACTTTCTTGTGCTAAACCATTACTTTGTGGTTAGTGAATTCTCAAAATTCTATACTATACATCAATGGACTGAAAAAACCGGCATCAAGAGATGTATGCAGCATTTGCAGTTTTACTTATTAATTTTTTTAAATTCTATATAACTTGAAAAATAATCACTGCCAGAAAGAAAATCGTCTGCATGCTAATGTATGTTTCAAGTACTTTATGCTGTTAATTTGGGATTATTTGGACGAAACATTTTCCTTTGCTCTTTTTCAACGTTCACCGAAATATCGCTGAAGCTTCGTCGTATTTTTACTTCTCGCCAGCTACTTACGGGTTTGCGGTCCCTATTTGAAAGTTTGGTCGTCCGAAACTTCTAACTCACGCTTTGTCGTATATATTTCTTTTCAATTCTCGAAAACTTTTCAACTCTCGGTTGGAGCGCGGAAAAAAAAGAGGTGAGAGTTATGGAGCCTCCGAAGGACTTTATTTAAATTTTCGTCGGGGTCGGTCGATACGACACATCGACAAGAAAAAGTCATCCCCCACCCCCCACCACCATCACTTCGATATAAAGTTTCCGTCGAATTAAAAGGG